ATTCCGAACTCTTGTACGGAGATGGTCATTTTCTTTGGCAGCCTTGGAACAATCCACTAATTTAATTTTAAATGCTAATCGCATTTTAGGACTTTCACCCGTTTAATCGGCTTTAGTTCTAGGTAGTTCGTCGGATAAACATTCCTTGAACGAATTTATCAGCGGGTACCTATGCCAATTTTCTTAGGTAGATGCTTTTTTGCCACAACTATACGATTAACAAGTAGGTAATACCTGTAATTATAAATCTTAGACAAGGAGCGTTTACTGATGCATTTCCCCTTATTGGCGAGACCGAGATTAATAATTAATCTACAGTTTTGACAACTCAGATCAATAGCCCGCCTCCATTTCATTGCTGGTACCTACCTAGACCATTGAGACCTGGAATAGATGGCACTTGCAAATTTTTAGGCAAATATAACAACTCGCTTAAAAAGAAAACCAAGCTTAGATTTCTTCAAAGGTCACCAGCGAAGGGTTCCTTTTAGAAAATTTGTACCCTCTTACTTCGAAGTACCTACTTCCCTTTCGAGTAATTCGCAAGTAAATCTATATGTTTGGGTAATTCAATGCAAATTGGTAATTGGTGGTAATCCAAATTCAGCTTCAAAAGTTCAATAAAATACCGCATTACTTGATAGGAAATCTTATAATTTTGGTTCCACATACAGTTTTGGTTTTGGGTAGGCATTTTTTATTTTAAGAATACTTCGACACTTCTTGGATGGAATGTTTTAGAAACCTGTTTTCTGATTATAACTTTGTATATAAAAAAATTTAGAGACTTATAGACCCCAAAATGTAGATTCTGTAGATTCAATACTGAAGAGTTTTGTTAGCAAGATCCCACCCCTGGCACTTGCAATTTGTGCCTCTTGCAGCCTACGTACAGTTAACAGATTCGAAATCAATCACAGCGGTAGATATCGTAACTATTTTGATGGTTACAATATTTCCCATCCCTTCACAAACATCAAACCATTCGATAGCTTCCACAAATTTAAACAAATGACCAAATATACAGGGTGTTACTTATAAGTATGTAAGAAACAAGCACTTTATCCAAATAAACCGAGGGTCCAACGTGTTTTGTTTGGGAGCCACCCCCACAAATAAGTGGTGAAATTTGCAAGTTAGAAACACTGGTGGCAAGTCTTTGAAGAGGTTTTCGAGTATAGGTACCCTTTCCGATTTTGCAAAATTGTTTTCAAAATTCCTACCACCAATGGGCGCACCCCTAAATGGGGGTTCAAATTTCAAAGATTTTTTTATCTGGGGGTTTTTGAACCATCGACATATAATAAATGGACTGCGCGTGTCAATGATAAGCGCGGATACTGCAGGTGAGAGAGAAGGAAAAACTAACAGAGCAAGCTGTCTCTTACGGTTACGCAACTGATTGGTTCTTTCAATTTAATTTGAATGCGATCGCAATCGCTCCTGTTGAAAGAACCAATCAGATCCGTAACCGTAAGGGACAGCTTGCCCTCTTAGTTTTCCCTTCTCTCTCACCTGCAGTATCCGGTCTTAGCATTGGCAGGCGCAGTCCATTTATTATATGTCGATGTTTTAAACATGAAAATCACGAATATGAAATTAGTTTTTGAAAATTCGAAAAAAAAATTCCACTGCAATTCTGGCCAGACAACGAAAATAGAGAGAATTCCACGAAATTCGCTGTGTGCACACTTGATGAGTTAAGGCGCAAAATTGTCGAACAGTAAAGTGTCTCCCGCCTACTAGTGAGTGGTCTAGTTTCGCATGTAGTTAATTAAAAATGTGGCAAATAAAAAAAAATAACGATTTGTCGATATCAAAATATGCAACTTTGCCAAATTTAAACTAGGTACCTACCTACCTCTCATAGTTTCCGAGATCCCCACGGTGGCCCTCGAATCTGAATCAGCCTGTATATTTTGGAGTTTTTGAAAAGAGAGTAAAATTTCCTAAATTTTGATGTATCACTTATTATAATTGTATTAAATATTATTTCGAATACCTATTGCATTTAATACATTAAAATGATTTTATTGTAGGCATCTAGGTTTCCATGACGAACAAAACATGGCAGGATTGTGTAAAAAACAATTTGTTGATTGTTTGGAAATGTTTATTAGTTTTCAAATATTTTTAATTTCATATAACACACAAAAAACAAAGAACGTAAAAAAACACGTGCGAATAAAACATCGTCATATAATATATATAAACAAATAATACAAGTAACCAAGAAATTGCCGTTTTAAGCAATCCTGCCATCTTTTTTTCGTTTTTTAAGTCAGACGTTTCGCCTCAGGTTAACCATCATTAGTTTTGTTTTTTCTTAGGAAATTCATCTTTACTTTTTGTGTCATTTGATAGGTATTCTGATTTCAAAAATATACCTAAATATCACTATTTTTTAATAAGAAATGGCGCAAACACCCTGTATAAAAACTGTGTATCGCAATGGATTGTACATAAAAAAGTGCTCTTAAGAAAGATTTTGCCAAAGTCAATTATCTTTAATAGTAAGAAAGTTATAGGGTATTAAGGAAATCGTCTAAATTCGAGAAACGCCCTCTAGCGGTCAAACGATTAGTGATAGCGGAATTCTGTTTGCGCCAGTAATTGTCTCTTTAAAATTGGGCTCCAGACACCTAGGTCCATTTTTTCGTATCTCTTAAAATAAAGGGTGTTTCATAAAAGTGTCCAATTTGGGCCACCCGTACATGTCTTTATATCATTAATGGCTGTTTGCACCGATAAATTTAAGACGAGCTCAAATTAAAATCAATCTTAAAACAATTGTCGTGTATGAATTGGCTGTTATTTTGTGGAGAAAGCACCGAATACATGTAGCGTACTTAACCTCCAAGTTACACTACAAGAACACGGAAATAATGTACCCGGCAACGTTTAAAAATGGCCACCCAAATGAGTAATCCCTCCAAAACTAAACAAAATCCCGCTTAAATTTGAAAAGTAGCACGTGATCAAACCTCTACGGCAGGGCCCTCTTACGTTAGTTGTAAACAACGCTATGACCTGAAGCACAGTGGAGAAGGAACATAAAATAAAACACTGAAATTGTGAAAAGTTTGTTTAATAATTATCGTGATTATTATGATTGTAAAAGCTTGGAAATTTAATCCAAAATAAATTACCTACATTGCAAAAATAAACTTTGAAAATGGTAGTACACCGAATAAAAATAGAAATAGGTTGGGAAAAAAAGAACTTACCAATAAAAAAACCAGCCGTCAAATTAATATTAAATTGTGTAGTAAAATTAATTGTTTGTAATGATGTGAATGCGTAACATAAAATTATAACATCACAAAAATAAGTAGCATGTAGACGTCAATAGGTAGTCAGTACATACATCAAACAACTCGGTAATTTCCACATATATTAAAATAAAATGATCAACATTTATATGAATGTAACTTCAGGGACAAGACCAAGTAATCAACATCAAATAAACATAAATTCCGCAACCATTACAACAGAAACGTAAACAATTACAAACAAAAGGATAACGGTATCAGATATGTGATTCTGCATTAAGGTTAAATCAAGTCAAAAAAAATATTGAAACTCACAAAAATATAAAATGCTGCATACAAATCACAAATACGATAATTATAAAGAAATGCAAAGATTACTACCTGCATTAAATAACACAAAATAACAACAAACATTTATGGAGGGACGCGTTCACGACCGTCATTTTAGACAATGCCAAACAAAAACAAAAGGTTATTTTATTTCTAATAAAACAACCTTGAAACAAACCAACGTTCGTGCTTTCTAGATGGCGCAGGCCGCTTTTTCCCACCTAGAAATTGCGTGGTTGCCAACTCTCAAAAATATGTGCATCGTATCGTAAGTTGTATATACAGGGTGGAACCCCTCATACAGTTGCAATTTTGGCCTGTATATATGCTCTTTTTTCACCTCGTGCGGACTGCAGCTCTTGTGCTGTAGCAATACAAGAAAGGAAACTCTCTAATTAATCGATTTTAACTATAACCTATAATTAGACTTTTTGCATTCTCACCAGCACTTTTTCGTGTTGAATTAATGGTAGCCGATGCCGGAACAGAGCCATGAAAGCTTTTCATAAAAGTTTGACATGTCGTTTTGAACTATAGCCAAGACTATAGCTAATAATAAAATATTGATCTCATCTGTAATACGAAAAATGCACTTTAATCATTGATTGATCATAGCATTCCCACGAATAAATAACGTACGATTTTGATTACTACCTCCTTCATTATCTCTTTTAGTTCATCAACGCTTTAATCAAGCATAGTCTGATTTATCTACTTCTGGTTTCCCTGCCTTGTACAATATAAGATGTTTAATTTTTGCATAATATTGGCGTAATTGATTTATTTCTTGTATCTGTGTGTTATGTCAGGTTAAAACACGCTACTTTGATTTATAACTATCCTTTAGCACTTCAAATATGAAAAATCTCACATTTTTGATTATAAATATATAAAACTGGGCTACCCCGAAATCTAGTAAAAACTCCAACGCTGCACAAGAAAATCCGTTTTGTATTTCTTGGTGGTTCCATAGTTTTCTTGTTATAAGTCGCCTGCGTAAATGTTTCATCTGGAACTCTAATAACTGAAAAATTGTACCAAGAAATGGTCCCAAATATTCTCTTGCCACTTGGAATATTTAAAAAAAAAGCTTTAAATGTGTTTGTTACAAGATTTATCACATAGGTTTCGAGGAGCTATCCAGAACTATAACCAGAACTCAAAAATAGCTGAAGCGTTCCTTTGGCACTTGGAATATTCTAAGATCAGTTGTCGGATTGGTGCTTACACTACAAAGAAAAAATATAAAAGCTGCGTGTCAAATAAGTTGAAAATATTGACACCTCATATTCCTCCATTTACTGTTTTGCAACTACGTCCCTAATTAGAGTAAATTTGATTATAGGCTTTTCTTCCCGCATGCAACCATTTATTGAAGATGCAAAATATACTATCCTGTTTGGTTGTGTGAATGCATTATTTTAAGCTTTATTAATTTCAGTTTTAAATATATACAAAAAGAAAAGGTGTAAATACAATAAAATAATAATCAAGTCCAAAAGAAAAACACTAACAATTAACCAATATATACGAGGAAAGTAGGCACACACAAATTTCAGCGCACTCACACGAATTTATAATTTATTTAGTTTATCGGCAACAATTACGGGATTTTGCTGTTCAATTAGTTTGCGTCCTTCAGATTTATAATCGTAATTACAACGGTGCACCTCCGAGTATCGATGCTGGCCGCAAAAAATACCGCCGCATCGACAGTGATACATGTTCGTAATATTCAATCGTTTATTGCACTCACCGCACCGCATTCTTTTTTTATCTATTATTGCGGGTAAGTTTTCAAGTTTTGTTGTGTCCACCTCTATTTTATTAATTGTTTTACGGTCGCCGTCGATCGAAACCGAACATAATCCTTTTAATTCACTCGCGAGTACCTTAGATTCCTCGTCGCTTCTAATTCGTAGAGGATTTAGTTCCATTCTATTCTCACCTCTACTGCTTAGAATGTTATACAGCGTTCCGGTTAGTGGTTGAATATTTAGTAGATTATCACAATTTGTATTAGTTTCATTGTTATGTTTAGGCCTAGACTCTATATTTAAAGGCCCCCACGTGGAAGATAGACTGTGCAATTTTCCCCTGCTGTGATTGTCACTGAACTTGGAGATTGTTTCGTTACTGCCAATTTCCGTGGACGAATTACCAATCTGGGAATACCTACGATAAAGTGGTGACCTAGATATTTTATCCGAGCTTAATGTGTTCCCAAAGTATAAGTCGCTGATGCGATCATTCTTTGGGGACGTACTGGGACTGGTTGAGAATATGGAAGGTACGTAGCAGTTACGGTCAATTACATAGTCTGAACTATCACTATTTTCTTTAACGTTTATCGCGTTCCTCGCACCACTCGAGTTACACACTTCCTCCGAGGAACAGTCGACACTTTGCCAACGTTTCAAGAGTCCTAATTTTTTAGTACTAAAGTTCTCAGTCGCTTCGCCGCCACTAAAAATATCACAGATTTCTTGTGCCTTTTCTTCCAAATTGACCGCGTCGGGATTACTTTTCGGCCGATCGCTGCTGTTTTGTAGTAAGAGCGGCGTCAGACGGACACTGTTGTGAGCAGGTACCTGGTAAGAAATGTCAATTTTAAATTACGTGTCAAATATTGTTTAATCGAAAGCGCATTTTTGTCATTTTAATAAATACCACGCATGATTACCACAGTGTAAATAGATGGTGAGACAACATTTGGGCGATTATACCTAAAGCATAATTTTCGTGCTTAATTAGAATAATGTAGGCCAGATGGACACACATTTAATTTGATAAAACGTTTAAATTGAATGAAATTTGCAGGTGTTTCTTTGTTAAATTTTATTATCTTTTAAGGCATTTTTGTATAAATTTGTGTAGGTGTGATAAATTTAATGTATTTCCGATAACAGAACAATTGATAACATCTGTTTACGTCCGTGCTTAACTTCGTGAAAGTACACGTCTTACGAAATATGGAAGTGGAAAGCGATAAATGTTTTCATAAAAGTGCGCACGCAGGTCGTCCGGTCTCCAAATTATTCAGTTTACGATCATAGGGAAATGACGTTTGAAGATTCAGAAGTCATGTGAGTTCATTCCTGATTCCACTTGTTTGTAATTCAGAATTTCCTTTTGAAGTTGACTTTATCCAACGGGAATGCCAACCCGGATGCTATATGCACAATCGACAAAGAGTTACGGATTGAGAACAATTTTCATGAAAACGTTCACAAACCCTAAAAGTATAGATGTCTCACAATCTATTTTTATATTGATACTGCTTTCAATACAAAATACCTACCGAAATTGGTTACGCTAAATGGTTCTGGTCCAAATAACTGGAATTGCATTTTTTATTTAAAGCAGAGAAAGAGATGCCCGACTGGCTAGTACGATCATCTCTAAACTTACAAGAAGGGTCAATCAATATTCAGCTCCACAAGTGGGTTACGGAAGCAAGCAATGTCTACTCTACACGTATTTACAACTGTTAAGAAAGCAGAGAAGTTAAACATGAAGGAAATAAAGAGAGCACAAACGGTAACCAAGTATACTACCTTAGACATGGACATAGTTCCAGCAAAAGGCACCCCGATCGGAGATAGCACCTCCTTCTCCTCATTTTCGTTATCGTCGTCTATAATAGCTATAGACTCTGCTATAGAAGAAGCGGATGTGGGCGGCGAAATTTCCAGATCACAAGTAATATCGGGCAAAGTAATTTTACTTTCGTACTTATGACCATATCGATTATACAACGGCGACAGTACAGAGCCGTCGTCCGATAAGCCATCCATATGTTTCTCCCTAGCTTCGTTACCTCTAGATCGCTCTCGCGCGGCGTTCGAAAACGTAGTCGAAACGGAAGGCTCGCCGTTCGATTTGCCGTGCGAAGCCCTGATGGGTTTCTCCGGCCTCAGCGAGGGATCTTGAAACAGTATATTATAAAAGCTATTCCTTCCTCTGTGCTTCTCCTTCAACGCGATCGAGTCCTCGCAAACTTTCAACGCTTCGTCCAGGTCGTCGCTGTCTTCTGTTTCGTCCTCGTCAAACTGACTCTCGTGCAATTTTAAAAGACTCTCCGCGTCCTTCCTAAATTGGCGCAGCAGTCGATAGCTGTAAAGATCCGATCGATAAATGGCAATTCGGGAGCTTTGCAAAAATTAGATTTAAAAGAACATTAAAGTGGATACGTATTTTCTTATTTCCACCGCCATTGCGCAATCAAAATAAGTGTTTTGCTTATAAAGGGTTTTTCAACAGGAATAGTATAGGCATGTATTTAATTACAATTTGTTATTTTCACTTTTGATCAGTGCATTCAACCTAATTAATGCAATTTCTCTCAAAAACCCAATTACAATTATTGAAGTTAAATATGAAAATGAACCCTCTGATATTTATCTGGTCGATTGGAGTCAACGAAATATGTGTTATTTTTACGCAGGGGTTTTCCATCAGCTTTTGTCTTCGATCATACGAGGGTTGCCGTCCGTCCTGGTTTCTCCGGATTTGTCCTAGTTTAGAGGGCGCCCGGGCGGGGTTTCATTGGTAGTCCGGGTTTTAGGCTACTGAGATATCTATGAGTTTCTGTCAAAACAAGATAAACTTTTAAGGCGCCAATTAGCTTTGGTTACAATTTTTTAAAACACAGAATCCTCATTAAACTTGGAGTTATTGAAAATTGTCTGGTGCTTTTTTTGCATTCCTGCTCATAATGCCAACGTTGAAAGAATATTTTCACTAGTGACATAACAGTAGACCAAAGAAAAGAATTTTTCCAATACCTACATTGTTTTATTGAATTTAATCCCTAATTTTTGTACATTAACAGGTAATTTTAATCCCTAGAGATTAAAAAAATTTTAATCCCTCATTTTTGTTTTCTTGTAAACAATTCATGGAAAAATGGATTTAAATCGATCGGTATTGGTAAAAATAGTATAAACAACACTGGATTAAACTAGTTTTTGTTTCATTAAAAATATTTTAAAAAATATTAAATTTAAACCATTCTCTCAGGAAAAAAAACTCTTTTCAATCCCTTGTTCCTTTATACTATTATTGAATTTGAAACAGTATAGTCAGTGAGAAAAATAAAGTAGAATTTCAAAGACTATTTCTTTAGACAATGTTTTTTCTAAAATTCAGTTAATATGTCCGGGTTTATAATCCCTAAATCCGGGGTTTTCACGCTTCCTATCCTAGTTGGCAGAGTTTTGAGATGGCAACCCTAATCGGTATGATTCATACCGTACATGGCCTATTGAATTTGGTGTAAATTCAAGTCTCGTTTTCGTTTGTTCAAGAATTTTATTCTGTAATTTCATTACTTCAAACAGCCAAATTCAAGGGTCCATTGTTTCCGAATCTGTCTTATAAAAATGTAACTAAAAAACCCGTTTGGGCGTATCCCAGGTAGAACCCACCATAGGGACCCAGCAATGTATTTTTTCGAGAAGGATCCACGAGGCCTTTGATATGTATTTGAAGCTCGCGTTCAACGTACGTCATTGCGCTTGCCTGAGATTAGAGCTAAACGCTAATGTCAAATGCCTCGTGGATCATTCGCGAAAAAATACATTGCTGGTTCCCTATGGTGGTTTCTACCTGGGACACACTGTATATGTATTGTGTTAAATTGAGTTTAAAACTTCATTATAAAAACATCAGAATTCATGAAGGGCTATCTGGAACTTAAAATTTATACAAAACCAATAAACGAAAAACGGGAATTTTCGCTAGTTCAGAGGTCTGAAATTTTCTAATTACAAATAAAGATCATGATTTATCATTCAATTTCTAGCACACTCGTACAAGTCGCCGACATTCCATTACGTCGATTATTCTTTGAAACAGCTTTGCTTATTCTTGGGATAATTACACTGACCACAAAATCAACAATGTTTTTTTTCAATGTCTCGTGCTTTAATAAATTATGATTTAAATTATTCTTACTGTTTGTGGCATACCTACCTAATCCCACAAAGTGCACGTCACATCGTTTAATGTGAATATGGCGCTTTAACTTTTGCTTATTGTGAATAGCGCAATTACACTGTTCACAAATTAAATCTTTGAGAAGGTTGTATGGGTTAATAGGTGACAACCACTCGTTAAGTGGATGAAAACGGTGATTGACACAATTCCACCGTTGTGGGAGACTGCACATCTTGAGATTGTCCAGGAAGATCTTCCATGGTTCTGGAAGGCAGCTGTCTGGATCCTGGGGCAAGCCAAAGATCTAGCGTTAATAAGCGGCACCTGGAGGCTCTTCACATAAAGTTCGTTGTCATAAACCGCCTGCTATACCGTTTTTTAGGTAATACCCTAATACGACTGGACTACTAGGGGGCACAAATGGACCACCTCAAGACTTTCTTCAGGGGCACCTCTAAAAAGCATTATGCGGCCACTCTGTAATTGGGCAAAAGCGAAATAAATACAGGGTCTCTTAAATTGAGTAGGATAACATAGCTACCTTTGTTATTATAATATGTACTTACAGATTCAGTTAAAACGGCCAAGTTGTATAGTTTTTGATGCTGATGGATATTCCGATGCGATATTTTGGAAAGAATAAATCGTTTGTAGATAATTAAAAAAAATGAAAATTTGCCATTTTTCAAATTTAAATATTTTAATAACAAAGAGAGCAATCGAAAAAAGTTCCAAATAAAAGTTGCAAGATTCGATGGGATCAATTCAATGGAAATACAAAAAAAAATTTTTCAAAATGGCGGTTTTCAAGATATTGACAACTTCCTTATTTCAAATGAACGACCATGTAGGATTTTTTCTTTGATACAGTTTTTTTCTCTTTCTAACCATTCAAATAATAATAATAATCATCATGGGTAAAATTACAATTTTCATTTTTTCTTCATAGTTGGCCATGGAAACAAAACCTAACAGAGAGGCCTAATTGGCATTTTACAATGTAACCTTTACTTTATATTTATATTATGATTTAAACTTTATGATGCGTAATTAGTTACCGACAAAGAGAATATGAAAACCTCAAACGTGGCCATTTATGAACTGAATGGCATGAAATTCAAAGTTAGCAAGCCAGTAACCATATCAAATGTAATGTCACCGCTTTGGCACTTTTGATTATGTATCGTCAAGCGGTAACTCGTGCATGTTCTAGTGTTAGCGTATTTAAATGACATCTTTATTCAAGAACAAGTGCCACCAGGATGCGGGCCTCCGCTAAAAACTCAACGCTCACCTAGATGCCGCCGGCGGCATCCAATGAACCTAGTGTGACCTTCAGTTGTCAAGATATCAGCAGCGAAGGGGTCTCTGATGAGAGAAGTCAGCTTCCAGGCTTTTTTTATGTTAATTAATTCTTTAATAAAACTGCTGGCCGGCCAGACAATTGTAACATTGCAAAATGTTAATTTCTTGCTGTTTCCATGGCCAACTATATGAAGAAAAAATGAAAATTGTAATTTTATTCATGTTTATTATGAGAGAAAGAGAAAAAAAACTGTATCAAACTGAGTAAAAATCCAATATGGCATCCACTTAAAATAAGGAAGTTGATGTTAATATCTCGAAAGCAGACATTTTGAACATTTTTTTCTACGTCCATTGAATTTATCCCATCAATTTTTATTTGAAACTTTTATCGATATCTCTCTTTGAGACTTGAACTTTTTAAGAATGGCAAGTTTCACTTTTTTGCAATTATCTACAAAACGATTTATTTTTTCAAAATATAACATCAACATAGCAATTTTACCGAATGTGTAAGTATAATAATAACAAAGATAACCATGTTATCCTACTCAATTTAAGACACCCTATATATTTACCTAGTCCGTACGTTGTTATATTTGTACAAACGAGATATCATGGCAGTACAATTAGTTGTGACATCAAAGGCCATTGGCGTTGGATACAGGGTGGAAATTTTATCTGGAACACTTAATATACCGGATACCCATTATGTATGGAATATAGTATACACTCGTATCTAGGCAAATATCCAATGTATACAAAATTTTTCTATATGAAAGTTGTTTAACATTTTTTTTCCCATAATAAGGCAGCATTCAGTTGTTTTTATTTCAGAAAACAAATGGTTAACTAAAAACAATTGAATTTTTTTACATGGTAGTGCAACTTTTGATTAGGCTCATTTGACACAGATTTGTTTTTCTCTTTTCGATGATGTAACATGTAAGTACTAAGTACCCTAACACATGCTCAAAAAAACTTATTGTAATCACATCAATAAAATTAATCTAGATACCCTACATCAAAATAAAACAAATGAACATGTACGTTTGTTATTAAACATTCATTTGTTTTATTTTGATGTATGATATCTAGATTAATGTTATTGATGTGATTATAATACGTTTTTTTGAAAAATTTTCTTGTATTAGGGCACTAACATGTTATATCATCGGAAAGAGCAAAAATCACTATCAAAACACTTAAAAAAACGAATTGTCTTTCGTTACTCATTTGTTTTCTGAAATATAAACAACTGAATGCTGCCTTATTATCAAATGTTAAAAACAAGTTTCATATATAAAAATTTTGAATCCATTCGAGATTTACCAAGATATATACTATACATAATGACCACCCTGTATATTTAAAACAACATTTTTGTTAAAGAAGCCTTGTATGGTATCCAAAATTACTTATAACAAGTTTAGTACAACCTACGTACTTGTGGTCAGTGGCCTACTTCATTTTTTTTAGTACATTAATATTTTTTACCCAGGCCATTGCGTCATGTCACCATTTGTTGGGATCCTTCTACCAAGCTATATTTCACCCTCCCCCGATGGAGAAGATCAGATTCAGTTTATTCACAATGGTCACTATGCCTAACATATTTATTACTTGTAATAGCACCTCCACCATTATTGGTACAATATTTTATTTCTGGTGATGCTATTTATAAAGAAATAAACATTAAAAAAAGAATAAGTTTATTTAAACAATCATTATCATCAAATATGGGAACAAAAAAAAGGTTAAATCATTATTAACAGAACCTATAAAAGTTTCATTAACATAATTTTTCATGATTAACATAAACAAAAAACAAGATTGTAATAAATATTTATTTCTGTTATAAATAGCAGCGCAAGGAATAAAATATGTACAGATGCTTCTGCGAATAACAAAGTTTACATGCCATAATTTCCCACTTTCCACCCTCTCGGGTGGGGTAAATACAGCCATTCAAAATAGAAATCAAATAAAGCAAACACACAGATTTGAAACGTCTTGTGGACACTTTGCACAAATTTCAGAGCTATGTTCAGTTGCGCAGTTGTAATTAAAATGTGGAGTAACCCCAGGTAGAGCAAGTCGAGATCAGCTGTTTCCGGATGGAAAAAGAAGACTAATACAAAATCTAATGGAACAAAGTATAACTACCTCAAACCGGCATCGGCATATGGCAATTTTTCCTTGAACTCCTCGAAATCCTCCTCGCTCACCTTCACCGGCTTCTCGCCGATACAACCGACCGACGTACTTTCCTCCACCTCCATCGGCTTGCTGTTTTTAAAGTGCCGCTTCAAAGATACGTCCGACATCCTCTTTCGTAGGTCGGTTATTTTCGCCAGCATCACGTTATTCTCCTGCAATTTATTGTAAACGCCTAAGGGACGGCTCTCTTGAGATTCGGTCTTTGTCGAGGTCGACTTTTCGCAGGAGCCGTCGTCGTTTTCGATGACGCGAATTAAATTTATAATGTCGCCATCTTTGAAGACCAAGACGGACACTTTGGTGCCCGCGCTTAATTTGCTTCCCAATTGCTCTCTGTAAGTAAAAGTACGTTATTGGCATCGTAGGTTTGTTGGCAAGCGTTCAACGCATACCTTGTATGTTCAATTAAGTCTTTTAAATCTTTCAAGATCAAGTGATGATCGCACGTCGTGAGTCTTCGTGTCGAGATAGGCCCACCTCGCATAGCCAACACAAGTTTCAATGTGGAGCCACTAACCAATCCGATGTCGCACAATCGTTTGTAATCCTCAACCACCTCCATGCGAAACAGTAGGTTCTGATGGTGTATTGGAATGCCTTCGACACGCTGAATTTTCTTCTTAATGTCTAAGATCGTATCGGAAGGATAGACTCGCATTTCAAAGATGGTACCGGTAAGCGTCTCGATGAACAAGTCCATGCTGGGTTCGTCGTAAGGATCCGAGAAACCATCTTCAGACATGTTTAGAACAACGTGACACTGACAGAGCACAGCACACCAAACACTACGTAATTTGACAAGGCTCCGCTACATCAACTCGGGCATTCTGATCGGACAATCCACTCAACAGCAGTCAAAAAGACGTTGGGACCTGCAAAGATGCCTATTTTCGTAAATGTTTCAACACAAACAAAAAGCAAAATATTTTTATACCACTTTACACCTACCTCATATTAAACTGGTCCAAAAATAAACGTTATGTAAAATTTACAATACAAATTGTGCTTTCGACTTGACAACTGTTACTCTAGAATTTGTTAATTACAGGAAATAATTACCAACATCCAGAAGTTAACAGCAGAGCGAGAGAGATTCTAAATCCTTGAAAGTGATTCATTTAGATTTTAAATCGCTCGCGAATTCGGCAATTGGAGAAACGCCAAAATTATTTACCTGCTCGAATAATTGTTAAAACTACATTAGCACTTTCTTAATATAAGTACATCGGAAACTTTAGGCGTAGTAGGGATGCAAAATTTAATCCGTTGGTATGACTCACATTGCTATGACGTTTTATTTACTTGGAATACAAACAACCGATTATTTTTTTCGTTCGTTTTATATGTAACTTTAGACGATGATTAAATATCAGTTTATTATTTCTAGTTCAATAAATAAGTTTTCTACTTGGAATTCAATTGGAATGAGCCAAGCGGTTTTTCTTTCGCACGAAAGTAGAGGGGTCCTTCCAAATTTTGTTTTTTTAAATAAATAACAGATGTAGTTGTAGATGTTATTTATTGAACACATAAACCCGAAATAGTTCAATTGACAGAAGTATAAAAAAGTTCAAAGTCGCACTTTAGGTATATCTTTACTAGTTTATAACACGAGCGCAAAAATATCCTTATTTATTAACGCTTCTACATCGAGATTAGGTTCACTATAATACAATACACTACTCTGACTACTCGTATACCATACCATAGCATAGTGTAAGAATAAAACTTATAAAACTGAAGAGTTTACGAAGCTTTGAAACGCTGTATCTGTGGCTGTATCTTGGAAACTATTAGAGTCGCGCTTTCAAAAAATCGAAAAAATTGCGTATTTTCGAGTGTTGCGTCGCTCGCACAGGTCTTTCGATGTCGAAAACTGGGGTTCCCACATCCATATTCACCCTAACCATTTAAAACAAAAAATAGAGATATATACCGGGTGAATATTTTAAAACCGAACATAGGCATAATTAACATGGAAAAAACGTTTTTTGCAGGTCGTTGCTCCCCATGTTAACTTAGAGGGTTCATGACACCAATCAAAAGAAGATTGTTTTTTCTCATACCTATAATGCGATATACGAATTAGTATATTTTCAGGTGTATTTCTCATTATTTTATCAAAATTTCGGCAATAAATCCAATTAGCAAAATCATGTTAAGCCATGGAAATTGAAATAGGTTTTCACAGAGACGGACGCTCATTAAAAGGCACGGAAAACAAATGTCTGTGAAGTTGGCCTGGATAAAATAGCCCGGCAGCATCGCACCATGCTAGATCGTTAGTGCTTTGTTAGTGCTCGTTAGTGCCTCACAAGTTAACATAAGGACTCAAACCATTTTCTCAAAATAAAAAATTTTTTTTGTTCGGGTCAACTTCACGTTTGCCCGGACAATGACTCCAATTTGCATCAAATTTTGTAGATCGTTAGTGCTTTGTTAGTGCTTATTAGTGCTTCATGATTCAACGTTAGGACTCAAACCGTTTTTTCAGAATAAAAAATTTTTGTTGTTCGGGTCAACTTCACGTTTGCCCGGTCAATGACTCCAATTTGCATCAAATTTTGTAAATCGTTAGTGTTTGGTCAGTGCTTATTTGTGTTTCATAATTTAACATTAGGACCCGAACAGTTTTCTCAGAATAAATTTTTTATTGATTCGAGCCAACTTCACGTTTTCCTGGACAATGACTCCAATTTGCATCAAATTTTATAAATCGTTAGTGCTTCGTTAGTGCTTCAAAATTCAACGTTAGAACCCAAACCTTTTTCTTAAAATACATTTTCCTGTTGGGGACAAACTTCCTTTTTGACGTAACTCTTTTCACATTGACATGCAGCGCGATTCATCTATACGTACCGTCACCGCTCCGTTACCCCAACGTCAACGAAACGTAAAATATTCTCGTTTACACATTTTGACGGTCCGGACGGTGACGTGACCGTGTAGTCTATAGCTACTATATATGTATACCACAGCTGACTCGTCCGCCATTTTGGAGCCCACTGACAATTGACGCTTGCAAAACACGTGCTTCTCATGACAGTAAGTTACCTTGGCAACATAACACAACATAACGAGCAAACAACTCAGCGTTATATCTGACAGACTGTCAGTGGGCTCCAAAATGGAGGACGAGTCTGCTATCTTAATCAAGTGCTGTAGTGTAGTCTGAATATGTCTATAGCCTTAGACTAGGAAAGAGAGATGACAGGTAATACTTTCAATAAATCTGTGACCATTTGTCACCAAGGCATGCCTGCCAGTGTGGTAACATACAAACAGCATTGTTGGGTGAAAAAAACGAAAACGAATGTAAATATAATTTATTAAAACAGTAGTAGAATTAATTATTTTGCTAAATGTAATAGTTGAGAATTATATATTTGGAGTTTAATGCTTGGTTTAATGTCACCGCAAAATATATGTATACTACTTTCAAAATAATTCAAATTGGCCAATAGAAAGCCTTTAGAACGACGCGGTACACTCCGTGCTCCGAGAGAGTTCCATTAAGCGATTTCAAATGATGAAAACTATTAACAACATATTTTGCTACATATCATGTGTAAAGTCAAGTACTGAATAAAAACGCAAAACGTAAAAATTATGAAAAAGACGGTTTGCTCTAAAATTTACCAAACAAATTTTTACCTTTGAAACGAAATTCCGGCGCTATGGCATTGGACCGCAAGACAGTATACCGCAAAGGGAATAGACCGCAGACGATAGGCCGTGGACATTAACACGCAGACATTAGGACGCGGACAACGGGACGCGGACATTAGGCCGCGCCGCAGACATTAGGACGCAGACATTAGGACGCGAACATTGAGACGCGGACATTAGAATGCAAGCATAATGTACTGTAGATAAGCAGACGTCTAGTCCTAGCCTAGGATCGGTGTCCTAATTTCGGCGTTCCCGTATCCGCGTCCAAATGTCTGCGTCTTAATGTCCGCGTCACAAATGTGTGCGTCCTAATGTTTGCGTCCTGCACTTTTGTGTACCTACATAGTAATAAGTTAGTTAGACTGCTCAAAAACAGTCAATCTTTTTTAAAAAATTTTCTCTAATTACTACATGTAACTTGTTAAAAAACCATCATTCGTTAAGAAGTTATATTTTATAATTAGAGAAAAATTTTAAAAAAGAAACACCGTGAAGTTATGAATAGTACATATCATTAATCTGTAAAAAAATCAGCTTCATTCATTCAACCGTAACCGAGTTAGGAAAGTAGAAAGTTCATGCAAAACTGACCAAAAATTATTTTTTACGGTTATCAAATGTTCGCGATTTTTTTCAGAGCTATTATCAACGTATAACTTATTTTCTCAAAAAAACAACATTTAGAATTTGTACCGCCAACGATACCGATACCGCAGAGCCTTAACAATTAAATCTGAAATGTCAATTTCAAAATAAATAAATATTTTTTATGTTCGGCGGTGTTTTGCCCCCCCCCCTCCCCCCTCCTACGTTCGAGAACGGGAGTTGGCACTGATCGTACCCCTTCTTTTTTAGCCACTTTGACCACTGCCACAACACTTTTCATTAATTCATTAATGGAGATAGACTCTTAGATTGTTTCAATTCTAATTATATTTGCATTTGCTTCTGTTGTTTTATATCGATATGTAATTAAGTAGGTACACATTAGCTATTTATGTTAGGTAAACTTGTTTTGTGGAATTCTATATTTGGAGCATAAAATAAACTATAATTTCACTAATTCCTGAAAATATTACCTATATTTTGCTCTTCACATTAACTATTTTAGTTTTGCATCTTTTCATCTTTATGTCTTTCTTTCTTGTATTTGGATACAAATGTCAATTTGTAATGTCTAAATTTATTTAATCGTACGATATATTATGTATAGGTACAATTTTATTTATCGGAAAGGTACTGCTCGAGCAAAAGTGAAGTGGGCCCAAACAAAAAAATATCTATTTTCAAAAAACGGTTTGGCTCCTAACGTTGAATTATGAAGCACCAACAGGCACTGACCAAGCACTAACGAGTTACAAAATTTGATGCAAATTGGAGTCATTGTCCGGGAAAGCGTGAAGTTAGTCCAAACAAATAAAAAAGTATTCTGAGAAAACGGTTTGAGTCCTAACGTTGAATCATGAAGCACTAATAAGCACTAACAAAGCACTAACGATCTACAAAATTTGATGCAAATTGGAGTCATTGTCCGGGCAAACGTGAAGTTGACCCGAACAAAAAAAAATTTTATTTTGAAAAAACGGTTTGAGCCCTTATGTTAACTTATGAGGCACTAACGAGCATTAACAAACCACTAACGATCTAGCATGCTGCGATGCTGCCGGGCTATTTTATCCATGCCAACTTCACAGACATCGGAAAACAAATATCGCGTACTAGAGTAAATATTTCCGCTGTAAACGTTGTTTATTATAAATACTATTTCCTCAGTGAACCGCATTTTACAAAAAAAATTAATGCCAGCTGTCATAAACTGATATTGATTTCGACGTTTGCATCTTCTTTTTGTCTTACTAGTCATATGACTTAATAGTCCAGGCAACGAAGCCCAAAAAAGGCTGAATAGAGGAAAAAATCATGTAGAAGATACCATGTGTAGAAGCAATACCATGTGTAGAAGCCAATTTTGGCACAGATGTAGGGGAAGGTATCCTGAACTAGCATACTAAAAGTACTGAAGGGCGGGGGTGAGCTAAAAGAGGAGGAAGGGGTTAAAGGTCCCTGTTTTTAGTTTTTCGTGAATAGTTTGAAAACGGTTGCTCCTACTTAAAAATTTTGTTCTAGAGAATTAAACAGCATAAAATTATCTACAAAATGATATAGCACAGTACATAATAATAATAATGCTTAATGAGATCCAGAGGGAAGAAAAATCAAAATTTTTAAAATTTTAACCGGTACGCACACGGGGAGCCCGAATGCGATTATGTTACGTATAGGCAGGAGGGTGGAGGTACACGGGGAGGTCAGTGCATGCTGGGTAACAGCAAGGGCGTCATTAGTATGTTAATTCCCTATTTTCGGTTTGGGAATATTCACCCGGTATATCTGATGTAAGGAAAAGGACTGGTCATTTTCTGTCTACTATATGTATAGGGATCGACCGATACGGAATTTTTGCCGATATTGCTATGCCCGAACTCCGATACCGAAAAAATATCGGCGTATCGGCCATTTTGTAAAAATTGAATACTTTGAAGATTTCAATTTCGTTTAAGTTGCGAGAAATTGGAACACACCGTCAATTATTTTCGATGTTTATTATTTCACTACGGCGGCGCACGTCAGTAGAAGATCTTCACCTTGGCGGCGATCTGGAATTTGATTGGTGGGGTCAATCAAGGTCAATTAAATTAATTTGCGGAGTGGCGCACATGGACGGGGAATAATTTAATTATTTCCGGGACTTTCTTGGAATTTGGCTTTTGATTTGATAAATTAATTAAAAATTGGAATGGTTTTGAGCTTTATTGACATTTGATTTAATTGATGACGTCATCAATTACATAGATTACCATGTAATTAGGGTAATCCGCGGGTCGATTAACTTAATTAGCGGTTTGATTTCTAAGAATTTCCAATTAATTAAATTCATGGATCGATTAATTTAATTCGCGGATTGATTAATTAAATAATTAAACTACGAATCAAATTAATTAATCCGCGAATCGAACTAATTAAAGACAATTCCAGGTTTTCCCGATTATCCCGGCCACACCATAAATAGGTATATGAATGTATCGCAGTCATTGGCGGCCTATATTAATATCGGTATCGGTCGATCCCTATAGTACTATATGTTAAAGTTGACTTTTTTTAATGATACCGAGGGGGCCCGTATGTTTGGTGTTTCACCAGGGCCCGCACGTACGTGACTTGTTACGTCGCTGGCATGGTGACATTCGGAAACCAACCTAGAGGTAATTTTACGGTAACCAAGCCTCCAGGATAGCCCTGTCACTGGAAATTCTTATTATAATTTTGTTCTTTATATTCTGCATAAGAACTTTTCTTGCGCTAAACCATTGTAGTTATAAATACAATGGCTAAACGTACTTAGAATGTTAGGGGTCCTCTAGCAATTACACCTGGAATACAGTAGATAGTTTGCCCACACATTGCTTTACTCGTGCAATTAATCGCCTCACTCCGCATTTGTCGAAACTGTTGGTTATGCACTTTTAGTATAGCTAATATTACATCAATTTCCTAAAAAGAGATACGTCCTCGTCGTCTTCGCTAACGGAGATGGTGGATGACATCTACTCGTCATTAAAAAAATAAGGATGACGCACTTCCCATGCTACTCGACGAGTGTGTGGCTGGGGTATAAGACCCAAGGATGCTAATATGGCCTCTCTTCATAGAGTTCTAGTGGAGGCAGACCCAGAAGTCTATTTTGGTTCTAGGCCGCCAGATAATTACTCTATAACAGAACATGGATCTAATCATGGTCAGCCCTCAGGGATGGTTTCCAGTGACAATTGCTCGGCGATATTACCAGAAAGCCCTATTTGCTTTTTCCGCTTTGAGGTTTGAGTTTTCAATTCAGTTTATTGCAGTTTAGGGGTCGCCACATTGAACGCGGTCTGTCGCGCGGGCAGCCGCTGGCGGTCCGCCGCGTTGAGTTGTTTTATGGTTTTCTTATGAAACATGTCACATAGGACGCGGTAGACCGCTTGTCCACTCGCGATCCGTCGCGCGGGCAGATTTGGATCGCCTCGCCAACAGTTTCTGGCGGTCTATCGCGCGCGGTCCCCAATCAGAAACGAGATATCAGAGTGGTACACTCAGGCAGTAAAAGAACTTTGATATTCATTCATGCTTACTAAGCAACGAACGAGACTATACTAATCAAATTTTGTTACGAACCGCGGTATGGACCGCATCCTGTGCGACATAGACCGCGCGGCTGATCGCAAGCGATTGCCTGCGGCGGGCAGACCGCGTTCAGTGTGGCGACCCCTTTAGTCTAGATATTTCACTCTGATAATTGGAGTTGATTTTGGAATAGCGGGGAAGCTCCTACCTTTCTTTTTCTTGTAAAAGAAACCAGCTAAGTTTTGGTCGGGTTGATGGACAAAGAGGTTTTCTACACCACTCTTCGGTTACTCTGAGAGCTGATTGCATCAGACTGCACAGAACAGCCTTAAATTTGCTCGTTATTTTATTAGTATGGACATTGAATTTATAACTATCATAAATTCAATGGTATGGATACATCATCCGTATATACCACAGCGTATAGTAACTTCTGTCGTTGAGGCGACAGAGGACGCTATTTACAAGTTCCACACAGAGACTTGTTATACTCTTCTCTTATATATATGGTTATACTTAAGACTGCGCCATTGAATTTATAACTATCTATAAATTCTATGACCGCGCATAAAATGCCACTCGCGTATAAAAGAGTGTTGCCAACATGTTTAGGCAACACATCATACACGTAAAGGCAAAGCGCGAACCAGTTTACAAAGATCTTACATATAACCAGTCGAAATAACTAGAATCATTGCATAAAAATTTTATTCAATGGTAAAATGAAATGTGCTTATCGACATAAAGATGTTTATTGGCTTTTAAACAATACTCACTTGTTGTATAAATGTCTAATTCTCACATCTACTTCGTTTATTTTCTTATTTTCGTAATGAATACGTATTGTAAAGAATGTTCATTCACCGCAGCCTGCAGGACATGATTATGATGATGATATGATCTTGAAGTGCCAAAAACAAATTACATCCGTGGAGATTTCTCAGATTTCTGCGCGACGTACGACAGACGCCGAATAAACAAATTCATATCTCTGTTACACTATCGTAAAGATTGTTTCTCAAAATAGTCTTGTGCTTTTCTGCTGTTTCCATTCCATTCTACATAACTATACCTAGATGTAACTATCCGGTAAAAAATACCATACGAAAATTTACACACTAGATTACATTTATTTCATTATTACCGTTTATAAACTTTTCTGAGAACATTATGTGCCTAGAAAGTGTGCGCTTTCGATTCAGCAAAGAAATTTTAAAAAATACTGAAAAACTAGCCCAGTTCAGCGATATAATCCCAGCAAAAACAAATAGTGAAGATTGTAGCGCGAAAGTTCTTGCCTTTACGAGTTCGGTGGGTGGCCTACCATGTTGACAACATACAACTTGAGCTATGCGCTGTCTAGTGGTAACAAGTCTCTGGTTCCACAGTGGTGAGAGCACCCATAGACAAAGTTGTCTATGAGAGCACCCCACCTTGGGGGCATCCTCTCATTACTCTCGCGCCGACAAGTCCTTTTTCTAAAGCAAACACATCTTCATTAATCTTCATCCTCATTGGGAAGTTCAAATTCATCAGCTAAACAAACGTTGGTTGTTTATCATTCCCTATAGTCTATAGTACAATTGCGAATCAAAATTCCTCGATATTGGTATAATTGGATTCCATCACTCCCAAGCAGCTTTCTTGGAGTTTTCCATTTATGCGAGCTATCACAACTTTTTCGTAACGCTCCGGCAGGGTGACTTCAGCCGCAAGAGACCTTTTTTTACCAGTTTTTGTCATTTTGTCCAGTGCTGCTCCATTAACTTTGCACTATTTCATATACATTTTCGTTCTTTTTTTGTACCAATGATATGCACACGAGCGCATTACCTCGAAACGCTCTATTTGCATCCTCAAACTCCAGGGTTTTCATTTCGTGCAAATTTAAATTACAAAACTTGCTGCGTTTTCGCGTTGCACCGCCAACGGTTTTATAAAACTTCCAGTTTTTGCAGACTGCAATTTTCGGCCGAATGTCGGATTTTTGTAGGACCAATAATAGATACAAACGGTTCGGGAGCTTCTTGCTCATAACACATCACGTTTCACGTTTTTGTCAAGAACATCAATTGCTTTCGAAGTTCTATTGCAACTTATATTTCATTTTTTACCGGACACTGTGCATCTAATCTTGAATCATACCTACCTCTTATTTCTTGTTTGCCAGCTTCGAATTTCATGGCTGGTTACGATCGGCGTTATCATTATTGCTCTCGAACGTTTCCATAATTTCAGAGAAAGAATGAATCACATCTTTTTTCTTTAGTGCCGGTGACTGACTTTGTAACGCCTTGATAACGCTCTAGAAAGTTCGCAACAATACTTTTATCACTCTCAAGCCCCTTCCAATTGGATTCCCCAACATTCTTTATGTGTTTTACATAAACATTCTTCATCAGTTTTTATATCATGTTTCCCTTGCTTTTTGTTGTCTTGTTCTGCTGGGAATGGAGTCCTGTTCGATTTTTAATTACTCTCTTTTTTGTATTGCTTGAAATTCATCTAAGGACACAGCCTTTTTCGATCTGTATGTACTAATTGCATTTGACCGTTGAGTGAGTAATAGTAAAGAGGCGCAATTGCAATGTAAAATTGCGGTACATTCCCCATCTCACTTGCCGATGCTTCCCGCACCCCGCCGTAAACAGTAGGAGGGAGGTTTCGACCGCCACTCGTTTTCGAGCGCACGTTTGACGTTGACTGGTTAATGGACCAAATTAGGATGCCGCCTATGCCTATGAGTTTAAAAATAGTAACGCATACATTATTTTAAAAAAAAACTAAACAGTTTTTTTTGTAATTGAAATTTCATTCAATTAGGTTAGTATAAAAAAATTCCACCACCCTCTACTTGAAGTTAAAAACTGCTGGTGCTCTTGCTTCCATAATCGCACAATGCAACAGGCAGAAATATTATCACCTCTTCGCCTAATGGTTGAGAGACTGCTGCATCTACCTAACCTACCTCATTACCAAAGAGTACTATTTCCTCTTTGCTCATTAGTAAGAGAAGATCTTATTCACTGTTCCAGCCAAAGTAAAGTTGTAGGTATGTACTTGGCAATAAACAACATCCTGCCAAATTTCCTGCAATAGCAATATTTATTAAACAGTTTAGGACCAAAACTATATACAATTACTGACGATAAATGGTTCATGAGGGCACCTCAGAAGGTACGTATCTGGTAAAATCTGTTATTCCTATTTGTGGATAAATATTCTCACACGCAGACTAGTTGTGAACATACCATTAGACTTTGTGAACCGGTCGACTCTCTCTTATCCAAGAAGCGAACCATTTCGTTTGTTTTGTTGTTTGTGTATATTTATTGATTATTTTCTTTGTTGTGTTTGCAGGCACAGCTTTGTCGTTGTGACATTTTGATAAACACTAATTTTAGATAAACGATTATTTCGCAGTGTTGCGTATAGCAATATTTTGTAAATAAATATGAATAGTGGCGACTTAGAGTCTTGCTTTTCTACAATTATTCCTAGAGTAAGTGCGCAAATTGTTATAAATAAACTGAAATGTACATTTAGGTTGAGTTTCTCAATGTACAAGATCAATATTCCTATAATGACGACCTAATTTGTAAATATTACCTAACAGACTATGAGGTGCAAGAAGGAGATAGAGTTGCTATATTTAGACTGGGGTGGCAGTACATAAAAGATTATATTTTGTTTGAGTGGGCCCCCAAAGACAGCGAGGCCAATCTCGTAGTATTTAACAGTAAGTCGTTTAAAATCCAACTACCAAATTATTTCGTGTGATTCTTCTAGAACCATGCCTTCCAAAGAACACCTCCGAAATTTATCAGTTTTGTTTCATATCCGGGGAAAATAACGTGCTCGGCGCCAGCGAACCCTTCCAATTCTCCGAAAAAACCAAAAATTACCAATCGCTGTTCAGATCGTCCGTACTCAAGCTAGACAGTTCGATGCAGGACGATTACAAATCTTTAAGCAACGCCTCGCCATCCTCCCTCAATAATATACCCGACGTGATCGAGCGCGATCGCGAGATGCTTCGATTGAGGGAGGAGAACGAATTTTTACGAAACACACTCAAAATTTTAATCTCGAAACAGAACCCGAAGAAGTACGACAGCGACATTGAGGATTTAAAGAAGCTGACGGCCGATTTACAATTGACCGTCGTTAATCAGCAGAATCAGCTTAAAGATTTACAGTTGCACGTTGCGAAGTGCAACAGCAATTACAAAAGTTTCCGAATCGAAGAGGATAATTTAGAAAGCGCCTGTGATAACTTAAAGAAACGATTCGATCGCACATTAAATATAAGTACAGACGACGAATTCGGTGAGTTAGAATCCCTCCCGCCGTTCCCCTTTGCCAAGTAAAGGTTTGTTAATTTTTTCATTTTTTTTAAATCGTAGACTTTTATTTATTTATGTGATATTTGTAATAGTTTTATGGAAGCGACACTTTTATTTGTAAGGGTTTCAGTGTATATACTTTGATTTAAATTATGTACAAAGTTATAAGTAAATAAATCATTGATGTAGGATGTGCTAACATAAGAAATCCATTTCTTTAGTTCGCACCATCGAATCCAGTTAGAAATCGTCAAGGGGAGTATAAATCCGGTTCAGAAATGGTAATGTTTAAGTGTTTGTAGCTCGATGTTCCTAATCTATAATGTAACCATGCGAGAAGCTTTCATACATAACTCATATAGGGTGATTAATAGAAACATTGGTAACATTAATTTACACATAAAAGTAGGTATTTTCTGATCTATCGAAAATATTTTCAAGATGGCGGCACTTCCGTTTAAACAAGCGAATGTTATGAGACAGATATCAAAGCCACCTAGCTATTTATTTTTTATACCAACAAAATGTAAAGGCTGTGCAAAAACGCAAATTTTAAACGAAGAAATACAAGCAGCGTTGTACAGCCATTTAAATTCCGCAATAAAAACAATAGTGTCGACATCCGATCTGAGAAGAACTACCGCCATCTTGAAAATATTTTTGTTCAGAAAATTATTTCAAACACTCCCAAAAAAGTGTAACTAACGGTCGTCGTGAAAGATCCTGTAGTGTATTGTACGTTTTGTATTTTGTACTACAGACCTGTCATAAATTCATAATTGATCCCAAATTTAATTTTTTTATATACACAGCTTTCAAAACCGGTGAATTTAGATTAAAAAAATATATCCATTTTGGTAGCTAAGAGGAAATTGAATGAATTTTACACATTTCACGTTTTAATTGTTTGTTTTCGCTTGAACACAGTTATATAAAGTATTCTCAAAAATTGACTACAGAACAATTTATTGTCGTTTAAATGCATTGAAATTGTCAAGTTGGCAACAATGGAGACATGCTGATAGACAAAGAAAGTTTCTTTCAGCAAGATGGGGCTCTCCAGACTTATCTCCGCTTGATTTCAGTCTTTGGGGACATTTGAAAATGGTAGTTTATATAGACTCTACCTTACAATATTCAAGACACAGAATAACACACAAATGTAAACAAATTACAAGAGGAAAAATCTTTGAAAGTAACTGAGATATCACGGAAAAACTAAAAATATCGAATTTCGTTTCCATTTTCCCTAGCTTAAACGGTCGGAAATAGACGGTTCTCGTTAGCACCCTCTACAGGCACTTTTTTTGGAGAATCTGAATCTGTTATCACCATAACACACTAGCTACATGTTACTCCCGACTCCGTTGTTATTGCTTATGGACGCCATATTGGATTATTGCGGAATAACACAGAAGACAAACAAATAAAAATAATGACGTGTCATAATCCATTCTTTACATAAAATGTTTTACATTCATCTCTTAACAAACCATCCACGGGTAACTACTTTTTTCTGAATCAAGATGGCTATGGTGGCGATACATGCAAATGAATTTGTTTTTTTGTCCTCTTATCTGTTTCCATAAAAATCCAATATGGCGTCCATAAGAAATAAGAAAGTAGTAGCGTTGAGTGAAGGAATCGAGGTAGAGGCGCAACGCCTATATTTGAAATCGTCATGTACGTAGGATCTGAGATTTACACGGCACTTATGATCTCAGATCCCGACGGCAAGTTTCTATATAGTCGGCTTTTCAGTGCGTTGAATAGAGAAGGAAATACTTAGTAAAAGATAAAAGTGACTACGATCTGTCTTATGGAGGTTGCCTCTCTACCCGATTCCTTCACTCAACGGTAGTAGCCTGTAGCTTCTACATTTAGCGTGTTATGAAAATTCTGATGACAGATTAAGATTCCCCGAAAAATAGTGCCCGTAGAAGGTGCCAACGAGAACCGTCCATTTCCGACCGTTTAAGCTAAGTGAAATTGACATTTTAAAGTTTTTTAAAAATTTCAAAATCGTTTTTTTTAGTCACAAAAACCTACACTGGATACAATAGATGAGCTACAAATTTGAACCACCCTGTGTTGTTGTCTGTGTATTAATGGAGACCATTTTGAGAATTTAATAAAATTAGGTAATCCTTCAAAACGTGAAATGTGTAAAATTATTTTGTATTTGAATTGGTTTTTTAAAATTAACTTCGTCGCCAGATCATGCAAATTTGATTTTGTGGATATGTTCGTAAAGCGAATTTTATGGCCTTTAAAATGATGTCTCCCTAGATGTCTCCTATCATTCGCTTGATGGGGATGCGTATGATAATTTTTTTAAATCAAAATTATAAGTACAATCAGTGGTTCGTTTTGTAATCAAAGCGCTGACACAATATTAAAATATTATATACAGGATGTCCCATTAGGGCGATATTTCTTGACAGGGTGATGCGACGAAAAAAAAGTAACATACAAAATTGTTTGCTGGTCTGATGTGAATAACGCTAATATGTACGGGGTGTGCTACATATGTGGTATGAGACAAGTTTGTTATTTTAAATGGAACAGTGTATTCTATTACAATAATGGAATGTTCTACAAATGTTGCATAGTTTTTGTTAAGCATCATGTATACACAAAGTTTAATATTTTTTTTTAAATCACTTGTTAACAAAAACATTTAAAACGCTATAATAAGCTAAATCTTTTTTTAGAGTAATACACAATTACTTTAGGGTCTTTAGAAACATTCTATAGTGAGCATTCTTGGTCTGCCCTACTTCTTTTTTTGAATTGGTTATTCCCACATTCTCTCTAAATGACCTAACCATTGTAGTTTTCTCGTTTTAGTGCATTTTGCAAGGAAGTTACAGCCTCTTTTTCTGTCCGTCCGCCCGTTTGATCCTACAGTTTTGAATATGTTTAGTTCGTTTTTTTATGTAACTTCTATCAGTTCTAGAGGTTTTTTAAAGTAAATTTTAGCCACCGATGCTTCAAGTGCGCGGCACCAACTTTTTTTATTTATTTACGGAGATATTTTTTTAGCGCATTTTTGAAAAAAATACGCTATTATATTCGTTATTGCTGGCAGGCCGGCTGTCCGCGTGAGATCTCCACAACTACAATAGCTAGAGAATTCAAATTTTCACTAAAAGCTTTCTGCTATAGTGTAGATGTGCAGGCACTAGTCTATTTTGAGTTAGATTACTTGTGAGATCGATAATTGAAGAAAATAATTTCGATATGGGTTTCGGAGGTGCTATAATTTTACCGTTAGATAGCGCTACCAGTATAAAAACTTATTATTCACTTTGTGATTTGTTTTACAAAATGAAGACGTACCTTCAATTGAAATTAAATAAAATTAATTATTTAACGCAGCCACAATTACTCGTGAGATCGATAATTTTAAACTTCGCTAATAAAATACTGACCTGCATTACCAAAAATGCGCTTTAATCATGCATATGCTGATTTACAACTTGTTTTAATTTTAACCACAGATCAAATATGCGCATGCGCAGACTGCTCAAGATATATTTTCATAGCTATAGTTATTTTTTGAAATAAAGCTAGTAAAAAGAAGATGTACCTACTCATGTGGAGACTGCGCAATGCTCATTTTATAGAGATTTATTTTTTTACCATAGACATCTTCTAGTAAGGGCAAACATCCTATATGTAAAGTATAAATCAAATGTGCGCATGGACAGACTGTTGTGTAATGTGTAATAATATAAACAAAAGTAACGCATATAGTGAAAATCAAATGCATGCGCGGACTCTGATTTAATCGCGAACTTCGTGCCGCTTTTGGAAAAGCTTGTTTTCTTTTTAATGGGGCATACGCTCGGTTCCGCCGACTGCGCCGCCTCACCTCGCACACCTGGCGAACTATAATTATTTTATTTTATTTTGCGTTTATATTTGAGTGGGCGGGGTTTCAGCTTGGCTGCTCTACCTCTATATAATCACATAGCGGTAGGAAAATACTTTACAACCTATTCTCATACCTACCAAATATACCAAATAAATTTCATAAAATGCTACTTTTAAATTTGAAGTTTGACGTTTCATGTCCATTCAACCATCATCAACTTTGTTTTTTCTTATGGAAGTAATTTTTAGCGCATTTTCCAACGAAGTTGGGTGCGCTATTGCAGCCACTTTCTCTGTTCGTCCGTCTGTCCGAGGCCTTAACTATTCCTACAGTTTTCAAGATATTTAGTTTAGTTTTTGCATTCGGTAGCGTATCGCTCTGGGATCTGAGTCAAGGAAAATCTTGACGATTGAACTGCGCATGCTGCGCAATGTTAACTTTTTTATTTATTAATCTATTTTGTTGAAATTTTAATCACAGATACTTGTAAAGGCAAATATATCGCATATAGTAAAAATCAAATGTGCACATGCGCAGACTGCGCAATGGCAACTTTCTTATTTATGGAGATACTTCTTTGAAATTTTAACCAAAGATGCTTATAGTAAAAGCAAACGTATTGCATATTGTAAATATCAAATTAATAAGCGCATGCGCAGGACGCGCAATATCAACTGCGCAGTAAGTGTCAACTTCCTTATTTATGAAGATATTTCTTTAAAATTTTAACCATATATGCCTCTAGTAGTGAAAAACATAGCGCACATAAGTATGGCCTTTGGGGAAGTATTGATCAATTTATGGAAAATGCGCTGAAGTTACTCGCCTTAGGGCGAAAACCTTTTTACTTGTTACTTTTTGTGTCATTTGATAGAACATTTTTTTCTGATCCAGAAATGTAAATATCACTCTTTTAATCAGAAATTAATTAATTCGTAAAAAGGACTACCTTCGTACACTACCCAAGACACAGTCCTCTAGGCAAAAAAGAAGCTATTTTAACAATATCCAAAAAAATTCTGAAGTTTACATTTTTGAAATCAGGAAAAAATTCTCATCAAATGACACAAAAAGTAAAAATTACTTCCATAAGAAAAAACAAAGTTGATGATGGTTAACCGGAGACGAAACGTCGGATTTAAAATTTAAAACTAGCATAGAGGGAAAAAAGTGGTCATAATAATGTTATTAATTTTGAAAAATGTTTTAAATAAGTTCAGTAAAAAATAAAAACGATTTCGCAAAGTTTCAGCTTTTTTCGGATATCTCCGAAAGTAGTCGAAATTTTTTCAGTTTCAAAACTGCATTTTGTTAAGCATCAAAA